TAAAATGCATCCCTCACCACTCGGCTCCTCATTAGTCCATTCCAGAGGAGAACCAAACCCTTCATTCTTGTGGTTGATTAAGACATTCTCTCCAACCCATTACAAAGAAAACAAAAATTCCCTAACTTAAAGCCGGCGAAAGCAAATGACGCAGCGGGATTTCTGTACTCAATGTCCGTCAATGGTCCACCACAACCTGGAAGTCTGCAGTAGTTCGCACTCCGCAGGGTTAATTGTTCGGCCGCAGTCCGCAGTCCGCAATCCACAGAGAGGCAGACTATGTTGAATCGTTGATTGTTGAAGATACTATCAACGAACGTATATTGGGCATCCTTAATCTAGTTCGTAAAATAAATGGGCCAGCGACTACAAGCCCAAAAATGAAAATATTTTTTTTGGAAGAGTAATTTAACGGGCCACCGGTCCAGACCTGTATTTTTCCGGGTTTGACCCGGACCGGACCGGAACCCGGAATCTTAAAATTGTAAGGACCGAAACCCGGACTGAATAATACCGGTCCGGTCCGGACTGGTCCAATCCGGTCCGGTTCAGGTCTAAATTACGGTCTGACCCGGTTAATGAACACCCTTACCTGGAACCTCCAGCGACGAAGACACCGATTGTCCGCAATAGGTCGCCCACTAATGCCGTATAGGTCGATTTACATGACAACGGTAAGATCACAACCCCCCACTATATGGTAGCGAAACCACCCACCGTAGTGAGCCTACAGATCAGGTAGAATCGTCGATATTGTTGATTACATTTTTTCTCCAGCCGTTTCAATTTTTTTAAATTTTCTATCAATGAACTTTATATTCAATTATATTTTATCTACATAAAACATAACATCTTCAAAAAAGTTTTTATTTGAAAATTTAATAACACACAAAAGTCTATTGATTAGAGTCATGTATATGCGTTTATCAAAATTATTTGTACTCTGGTTTATGTAAAATCATTTTTACCTTAAAATTGTTATAACCTTTTTAAGTCTTAGTTGTTGCGCTAGTCAGAATTCCCAAACACATCTTTAATTTTTTATACAGTATTAATTTATTCAAAAGTATTTCAGAACATTTTAATTAATTTCTTCGAAATTTCAAGAAAATCCCCTGCTCTCTTACATGAAACACCAACCTCAGCTCTTTCTCTTTGCCATTTCACTACATTTAACGTTCCAAAAAAAGGTGTTGACCGGACACTTTCATTTTCTTTAAAATACTAAGTTTTTTTTTTCACACATTCTCTAGAAAAATCTTGAAACCCACTCCACCCAAAATATAACCTAATCGGCACCCCACTTTATCCCACTTATTCTTACTTGGTACATTGTTATATCTCTCCTCAAGGCCAGACCTCGATCTATTGTCCCTTTTCACAACTTCATCAGATTTTGCCATCACCCACTCTCACATTGGTGACACTGAAGCCCATCACTTGCGTGGCTTAAATCTGCATCCAAAAAAAAATCATGATTATGTTTTATCAACAACTTATAAAAAAAATCATTTTACTTATGTTTAACAACTCTTTGTCTACCCTTTTTTTATTTATATATTATACTCTATATGATACTATGATTTACACTTCAACGGGAACCTTACAGTTATTTGCAGCCGTAAGGATTTTCTTACACTTCAACAGGGGCCTTACACATCATAAGAGCCTTACACTTCAACGTCTTAGTAATATTTAATTCAAGTCAATGCAAAATTTGTGGGGGAATTTTCTCACCAGACAAACGGGTTGGAGATTTGAAATAGGTAGGCTTCCTTCAGGTCTTTGTTTTCTATGTAAATATGTAAATATTGTATGGTAGATGTGTCAGATTTCTATCTTCTGTTTTACTTTGTTAATTTTGTTGTAATATAGTCCGTAGTTGATACTTGATCTTTAAACGGAGTATGAGTTATTTGAATTAGTAATCTAATTTCCCCCAAATATTTGCCACTTGAAACTCTTGATAAAAATGAATCCATATATATCTTGAAATCATTTTTCGGATAATATGCTATGGAGTGTAATATTAATTTCAAAAAAAAAGAAAAAAATACAGTTCTCCGTATCAATTTCGCACACGCACACACATGCATACTTCAGAGATAAAACTTCATTCTTCATTTCTTCATCTTCCACATTTACCCCAATGTTCATAATATATGTTTCCAACATACAACAGTATGAACACTTGAACAAAAGAGATTGAAACAATTATGAAAATTGAACGGATGTGTTGATGTTATCCACTACAATTTTGGTCTATTTATAGAAGTCCATGGAGGTGAAGTCTATGAAACCACCGTAAGGAGTGTCCGAGCAAACTATTTTTCACTTAATTAAAGATTATGCCAAAACATTGAAGTAATTTACTACGTATGTATTACGGAGTGTGAGAATAAATTAATCATATGTCTCGTCAAATCAAATGTCTCATCGATGCACTGTACCGTTGTCCTTCAATTTTCGTTCTTTACTCAACTTTCCGACTATGTATTCCCAGATGGATTGCACACCACTTTCACTTAATTAAAGATTTTGGAAAGATTTTGGGATAAAATTTGTCATAACAATGAACATGGCCACTTCTTTTAACTATTTCTCTTTGTACTTTTTTGATGTTGCTGTTTTTGAGCGTCAAACATGTAGCAAAAAACATTTTGCTTTTAGAATATACTATCGTAATAGATTTGTGAAAATTTCCCATGACAAATAGAAAAAATAAAGATGAGACACTATTGGCGTGTCAATGAAGAGACGAGACATGGCGTGGTAATGGGGTGGACAGGGGCACTTCACAACCTCCTATTAAAATGTTACTGTATAATGCAATGTGTTTATTAAAAAGGAAATTGCTCAAAGTAAATAAACTTCAAATATATATCAGTCAGGTAATTAATCAACCAGATTTAATTGCTAAGTACTTCATCTACCCTAGTTAGGATGTTTTCTTTTGGACTTCTTTCAGATCAGAACAGACAAGAGCAGATCAGATCAGACCAGATCAAACCAGATCAGACTAGACCAGCAAATTTCAGTCCAAAATAAAACATCCTTAAGCTTCTTATTATTTACTTCTCTTGAACCACTTAATAAAAGGTTTTAGCCAATTTGAACCACTTAAAAGATACTCCGTATATCACCCAACATTAAAAACAATAATTTTATACATCACACTTATCATCAATGACATCATTATAGAATATACACATCAAAATTGTGTCACAAACTATATACTTCCTCCGGTCCCAAATGAAATTCACACTTTCCTTTTTTGCTAAGTTCAAAATAAACTTCACACTTCTCCTCCCTTCTTCTTTTTTACAAATTATCTACATCAAAATAGTGCAAAACAGTGTCAAACAGTGTCACAACAGTGTACTCTACAGTAAAGTCAATTTTATTTCTTTAATTTATGTGAAGTCAAAATGTGAATTTCATTTGGGACCGGAGGGGATATAACATAAATTAGTTTATATGATTATTGTGTAACCAATGGCCGGAAATTTTACCGAAACATTGAATTGTGGATTTGAACGACTCAAAGTCAACCCTAATCTCACGACTTGGAGAAACGGGAGAAAAACGAGTTAACGCGTAAGAGATGAGTTGGAAATGCCTTTTCTTTTTGACACGCTTTCTTTCCTTTTTTTATTTCCAAAACGTCACCATAATGTCATGATGATGTCCTAAGTATGAAATTTGCAATATGTGGATGGAAAAATGTATTTTCATTTGGGAGAATTTGTCATGATTTGGACTTCATAAGATTTTGTACTCTATTTTCTAAATTTTTAATATTTGTAATTTGTACATTATTAATTATTTCGCTAGAAAATCATTTGACTAATTAGTATATCACTCTTTCATAATAATTTTAATAATTTTGAAAATGAGGTACAAATGTCAATATCACCAAAAATATGGGATGGGTGAAGTTAATTTTTTTTTTAATTTCACATCATTGGATATATATGTAGTATCAAATATGCAATTTGTTCCTAGAAATAAATTTTCTATTTGTAGTTTTTTTTATAGCTCATATACTCATTAGCTAATGTTTGTCAAAGTAGTCTTTCCCACCCTAGCGTGATGTTATACATGTTTTATGTTTAGATCCAAGAAAATGTTTGGAAAGAACATAAAAAAAAAAAAAAAAATGCCAAAGATAATGAAGTATTTTTAGTGTTTACATATACATTCAAGACTGGTATGTCAAGTGTTTATACAACAAAATGAATATGTACATATATGAATATGGTATGTTTATACAACGTATGTAGTATTTTCTTCCTTCAATTCTAACTTTTTCTCTATATTATCTCTCGAACATTTTTTGTTTCCAAATTGACCCAAAAGTTTGGTCATATTATATTTCTTTAAACAAATTAAATCTCTTCCTTTTTTAACAGAAAAAGTAATTGTGCTTCTTATTATTTGCTTCTCTTTTGACAAAGAAGAAGATGATTAATGTGACTACTTAATTACTTTATGGACCGTGAGTTTCTTATACGGATTACTTCTGTTCAATCATTGTAAGTACTTTATAATTTTGATTCATAATCTCTTTCAAATAGTCTAATGAGTAGCACTAACTAGTTAGTTGACATCAATATTTTCATTAATTAGTTTTACTTTGCTATTCAATGCCTTTTTTGCGGTATTTTCTCACATTCTTTCATATAAAATATCTGTTTTGTTAAATGTCATCATTTTTGATCCACCGAGTTGTTTGTGTTTTGAATCTGTGATTTTTTTAGAGTGTCACGGTAATGTTATCGAGCCACGCGGTGCTTGAAAGAACGGGGCAATGCCTTCGACCCAAGTTTCTTTCTTTCTGGCATTGATCTTTATTTAATTATTGATTAATTATTGTGGGCGGCCCCAGAAATGGTTTTCTTTATCAATTTGACCATTCACACCTAAATCGTTTTCACACCATCACCCACCCACCACCGATATAAAACCCTCCGCCCCTTTGTCCATCCAAATCTTTTGCAGCCCTCAAAAGATTTGATCTTTCGTCTTCATTCCTCCAACCCAAAAAAACCCATAGCCATATCTATCTATCTCATCTATATACAAGTCAAAACACCTATATATATATATGGAGGGTCATCATCCACATCATCATCACCAGCTGCATCCTCAGGTTGCCCACCTGCAGCCCCACCAGTACGGGGCGGGGCTGGACACCGGCGGCGGCGGCGCGGATAGGTTTCCTCAATGGAGTGTCCAAGAAACCCGGGAGTTCTTGATGATCCGGGCGGAGCTGGATCCGACCTTCATGCAGACCAAACGGAACAAGCTTCTGTGGGAAATCATCGCCACGAAGATGAAAGAAAAGGGTTTCCATCGGAGCGCCGAACAGTGCAAGTGCAAGTGGAAAAACCTAGTCACTCGTTATAAGGTTCGTTGAATTATTATATCAATAAATGAATATAGTCATTGGAACAAAATATTGGTCAACTCTACTATTACTTAATCGTATTGTATAGAAGGGAAGGAATTGAAGGTCGTGAAATATTCTGTTTCCTAATTAATGATTAACGAATTAACGACTATATGGGGATCGATCGGTTTGATTTTCTTATATGGTACTACTACGTATTTTTCTTATAATTTATATTATAATTTATTATATGGGTGTCTCAATTAAAATGTTTGAAACTTTATTTTTCTTAAATGTGTGTAGCCGTCTATTCTCACTGCACGTTTGTCTGTGTAAAACTTTGACCATTACTATATACGGAGTATGATTATCTGCTAGTACAACTTTTAAAAAAATTAAATTCCGAAAATTTAAAATTAGACAGATTTAATAATTTTTTAAAAAAAACATTATTAATATATGAAGCGTAGTCAAAATAGAACATATGAATCGTGCAAAATTCAACATGTTGTACTTATTTAAGAACATATGAAGTATATGATAAGTTCTCCCACTTCTCCATTATAAGTAGTACTCCGTATTTGATTTTGTTGATGAATAACATATATGTACGTTTGTATACGAAATTAAACTTATTGATCATTAAACTTAATTGTTTGACCAAAAGTATATTTGTATATGAAATTATTTTTAATATTTAAATGATAAAAAAATGTTATTCTTTAAAAATACACTTAGTAAATGTATTGAACATATAACTTTTAAAAATTTATCTTAATCAAAATCATTAATTACATGTTATTATATTTTCGAAAAACTATGTAAAATTTCAAAGTAGAAGTATTAAAGCATCTCTAGCGGTTAGCTAATTAATTGCCTTCATAGCTTGATTAGTCATATAAGCATCTCTAGCAAAATTGAAATATACTCCAATGGTTAGCTAATACATTTTTCCTCTTCATTTATTATTTATAATATATAATATATTTAATAATTCTTCTTGCTCAAGCTACTACCTCATTTGGGCTAATTAGCTTTCTCAAACAAAAGGAAAAGCAATGCTCCAATGATAGGCTAGTAGTTTCGAAATTGAAGCAAGTCCTTAGAAGCAACCATTGGAGATGCTCTTATGTTGTATTCCCTAAATGGAAGTGCATTAATGATTTTTTTTGAAAATTTACTACTACGGGGTATATTTTAAGATTATTGAACTTTATATATGGTAGTATACTGCCATAACTGGTGCTCCTTCCCCCTGGTTAAAATTATCTCATTTTTCCTCTTTAATCCGTAACACTAAGATTGTTTGATATAAAGTTTGGTAATATTTGTGTGCTTCTAAATTGTTCTTACCTTTCTCTTACTTTATTAGTTAAATACCAACCACATATAGTCACGTTTTTAAAAGCTGCACCACTTCTAACTCGATCAAACTTGCATAGGTAGTTTTTTTCCAAGCATGTCTGTAATTACAATTATTTAGGCAATCAAAATATGAGTTTTCCAAAAAATATTACTAAAATAAAGTATTTACAAAAATATAGCTAATAATTACTATAATATATTGTCATAGTCATTTAAGTTAAAAAATTCAACACAAGTTACTATAATTAAGTTACTGGTATAGTCACTAATCACATTTTTGTAAACAATCTTTTATTTAGTCATAAATATGTAATTATTTCCAAAAATATAGTACTCCGGTTTAAATATCAAAAATTTTATTTCCATTCAGGGCAATTTAATTTATTTTATATTTGTGATTTAATTCATTTAGATTTCATAATGTTAAAAGTCCCTATATAATCATTGTGAATTCAAAGTGATGATATGCATGTGGTGAAAATTGGAAAACTTGCACATTTAGTTGTGTAGCATGTTTTTATGCTTATTATTAATTAATTAGTTAACATTACTTGCTTGTTCTTCCAAAAAAAACATTACTTGCTTGTAGATGATGTACTTTAACTAATAAGTCTGTTCGAGTAAGGATTTTCAGCATCGAAATATGCTATTTTTGCTTACAATTTCCATATTATTACAAAAAAAATATACATTAATACAAAAATAAAATCAAATGTGTGGCGGGTCAACTGGTTGGGGCCTAGCATGTCCACCTAGTTGTGTCACTCATAAATAACTTTTAGGACACATTTACTTCACGGGTTATTAAACAGTACTTGTTAAGACTCGCATTAATAAGTGACACATAAAATAAGTAGTGTTGTAAACTCATGTTTATTTCAAAGGATTTAAAACATCGTTTAACACTAAAATGTTCAAAATAACACTATACATATATAGAAAAACAAACATTCATGAACACAAGTATATAATATAATATGTGGGGGTCACATCGTACCCTTACCAATACCCTAACTCCTAACCCCTAAACCCCTCAGTTGTTAGGGTCACGAGTAGGGAAGGGGTGGGGGTATTGGGTCGGGGGAGGTGGGTGGTAGGGCAGGGTGGGGTAGGGGTAAGGTCAAGGTAGGGGCAGGTGGTAGGGTCAGGGTAGGGAAGAGAAAGGGAGTGGGAGGTGGGGTAAGGGGTACAGTGGGGTCAGGGTCGAGGTAGGGAAAGGTGGTCGGGGGTAAAGGTCGGGGTAGAGGTAAGGGTAAGAGTGCGGGTGAGGTAAGGGGGTGAGGTAAGGAGGTATGGTCAGGGGTACTGGTGGTAAGGACGGGGTTGTGGTAAGGTAGGGGTAGAGGTCTGGATTGGGTTGGGGTTGAGGTAGGGGTAAAAGGGTGAGGTCGGGGTAGGGTAAAGGTAGGGAGTACAATACGGTGGGGGTGGGGTAAGGGTTAGGGGTAGGTAGATGGGTAAGGGGGTAAGGGGTAAGGTAGGAAGGGTTGGGTAAGGGGTGGGGGTCTAGGTCGGTTGGGGTCGGGGTGGAGTTGGGGGTTGGGGTGGGGTCAGGGTGGGATTTGGTAGGGTAGGGGCGTAGCGAGTAGATGGGTAGCAATAGGGAAGGGAAAGGAGTAAAAGTATGAATAAATTCGAAAACTGAAAAAAGATTAAAGTGTCGTTTAATTAATACATGTGGGGTATGCGTAATAAGCGACACTTTAAACACATCTTTCGGTTAGTAGGCAACTTTTTAAGAAGCTTGCATGTTTACTTCATCAGTCTTACTAACCTAACCGTGACTTTAACGGCGAAGTAAACACCTCCTTAGTGTATTTAATAACTAGGATTGTGGCACTGGTGCAAAAAAACACAAACTTATACAGTATTTGCGTTGTACACAGATGTTTTCACTGTGCAATTTTTATTTAATATTCTTCAAAAGCTTACATTTATTTGTTTTATTTACTTATTTATCATAGGGGTGTGAAACATTGGACCCAGAAGGCATGAGGCAACAATTCCCATATTATAGTGATCTTCAAGCACTATTCAATGCGAGAATGCAACGAATACTCTGGATGGAAGCAGAGGGTGGCAGCGGGTCAAAGAAGATGATGAAGGCCGCAATAGGATTGTCTTCTGACGAAGATGAAGAGAACGAAGACAGCGAGACAGAAGCAGAAGCAAACAAGATCAGCAAGAAGAAAAGGAAGGTGGTGAAAAGCAGCGGGGGAGGAATAAATAGCATAATCGGGAGTGGGAATATGGGGATCAACAGCGTGAGGGAGATTTTGGATGATTTTCTGAAGCAACAAATGCAAATGGAGGCGGAATGGATGAAGGCTATGGAAACGAGGGAAAACGAGAGGCAGGTACGAGAGATGGAGTGGCGGCAGACGATGGAGGCGCTAGAGAAGGAGCGGTTGATGATGGAGCGGCAGTGGAGGGAGAGGGAGGAGCAGAGGAGAAAAAGGGAGGAGGCTAGGGCAGAGAAGAGAGATACTCTCATCAATGCTTTGTTGAACAATCTTATTAGAAGAGAAGACTAGCTTAATAACTTGCATTCCAATCCCATTCATTCTAGATATAAATGTATATGCAAGCATTACGAGAGATGTAAGATGTAACGAGTAACGCCCTATGATTTATTTGTACCACCATCATTTTAAGGACATTGATGTTATTTTTACCACCATCATATCGTATCTTGTTCATGTGGACTCATCAGAATAATACAATTATGTAGTTGTAACATAGATAAAAGATGAAATAATGATATAGATCAATCACATATATTGTAGCGGCAACAATATTATGTATTTAATAATGACTTACAAATAGTATGTATAGTTTTTTAGAGTGTATAGTATATATATGTTTGATGTATGAACCACATCTCTAGTATTCTTTTGTATAAGTTATGTCTATATTTACACGAGAAATTGGAAGAATGGAATAAAAAAGTGTTGTACACTTCATTTGTAAATGAATTTTAGAAAGATTGTAGTAAATCCATAAACAATTTCATGTTGGGAGTGGCGACTATAAAATTGTGGGACATTTGGAATAAATATGGGTTATGTTTTCAATTTATTCATGTTTACCTTTGAAGAGAAGAATCGACGTGAATCGTGAACAAACGAAAACATGTAAGGTTTGAGTATTATGAAGTATATTCTAAAGGGGGTATAAAAAGTAAAGTGGAATCACATTTAGAGAATACAGAGCATCTATTTCTACGCACCTTAAAAAATATACAATGTCTTATTGGCATAATTTTTTACTTTTAATCGAATGGATTGATACATATTTATACTCTAGTATGTACAAGAAAAAATGAACTCGGTAGCAATTTGGAACTTGAGGAAAAATATCTATCTTTAATTCGTCAATGGTCTATATAACTATGGAGAAGCAACAATTCATATTGATCCAAAGAAAAACATGTGGTTGCCCATCGTAGCTTTAACGGATTGGCTACAAGTATTTGTTATTCCTGTAAAAAAAACCATTATTTCTATATTTAAGAATGTCATTATTCACAGATAAAGATTTGTGCCATGGAAAGAAAAATATGAATAATAAGGGGTGATATTTTATGGGTTGGCTGCACATAAAATATGGAAATGCATGATCATATATTCATCATGTATTCTGCTAAGATGTATATCGAAGGGAAATTGCCAATAGTTTGGACAATTGACCATGCAAAGGAAAAAGACAATAAAGGTATGAAGAGGATAACTCGAAATATGGCAAGAGCTATTAGAGTAAGATCATGGATGTTGATTGGATTTTTCAAGAGAGCTTGGTATAAATTGCGACAACGGTTTAATTTTTAATTTCATAAACAATGAAAATTGTTACGTTGTATTACTTTATAATAATAATTACATCACTTGAAAAAGATAATTATTGGTAATTTTATGTTCATGATTTACGTATTCACATATTTATAATTACTTGTGTGTGGCTATGTGGGTTAATTGTTGTCTTTAATTAATCAATTATTACTATATTTACTAGGTTAAGCCGTCGAGGTTTGCAATTGAAATGAAATTATCAATCGGTTCACACGAAAATATTGTATCGCTTATCTTCTAAACGACGTCCATGTCCCTTCTTCTACACATTACCTCTATTTGATGCACATGTGAATATTATAATTGTTCATTGTCTTTTAAGATAATATAGATTGTCGTGCTAAATGTAATGTTGGCCTTATGGGAGCTTAGCATTATCATTTGGTTCAGGAGAACAAAACTGTACGGGGGCTAATCATTCGACCAGTTTTCACAAGAACCTGTGGTGAATCCCTTCATGTATATCCACTATTCTGTAGTGAGGCTTTGCAGTACTATCACAGTAAACAGTGAGGGCTCCTCACATGAATCTACCTTCACTTGGATACTGCATAGAGATGCAGTTAAATTCAGAGTGACTACTTATCGCTAATTAGTTTTAAGAAGTTTACAGTCACTTAACTCTAAAACTATGAATGTTTCAAATTCTCCATTAGGGGAAACAGAAGACATTAATCACTCGCACTAAAGAGAGTGCAAATAAATAGCCTACAAAGTCAAGTTTACTTAGTTGATTGAACGTTTTGAGAATCTCAACACTACAATGATGACGTTGGAAGCAAGGGGTGTTGTGAATATCTCATAAACTAGTTGTACATACGATATTTTCATGCTTTGTTATCTTGTTCATAAAATCTAAAAAAATTGAAAAATAATGAAACAAAAGATGAAAAGAAGAAACAAAGTTGGTTAGGTTGAAAACCCGAAAGGGCAACCTAAGCAAAATTGTGGTAAAGAAAAATTAATTAATCGGTTAGGCTTACACACGTGTGAAAAACACCATTCTCAGTGGATAAAAACTGTACTAAACTATACTACGATTTTATCCCTTAGTAGTGAATTGCTTTGGAGGGCAATGCCTATGAGACTCCATACGAAACAAGAGATGATTCAGAGATATGACGGGAATTAAAAGTGTTAAAGAAGTGGTTCAATATAACGAGTCTTCCCTAAACTTTTAAGTTTAGCCTACTTATTTCAATTCAAGCCTGCTTCAACCCTTCAAACAAATAACGCTATATATGTTCGGCATGCCACTTCAGCTAAAAAGGGCTTAAATCTAGTAAAGAAAAAGCCATTTGAAGGCTTTTACACATGCCTGTGAAGGCTTTTTTTGTCTGTGACAGAAAAAAGCCTTCACATGTGTGTGTAGAAGTGTCTACAACAGCAAAGTTTGTACACCAAGAATTGTTGTTTACTAAATTAAGTCAAATGTCTTTAAATTAATCATGTTTGTTTTAATGGCTGATTTCGGATTCAATTGAAAAAATATACTGAATTCAAATGTTGCATTGAGTAGCGTTTGTATTCAGCGAGTGGTTTTCAAACTTTGCATTCTCGTAACATCCCTCCTTCCTCGTATGCTAACTCTGACGATATAACTCCTTTATGTATTGATGGATAGTGTACCCGGGGGTAGCTTATCCGAGGGGTTATTACGGGGAATAACAAGAGAGAAGTCAGAGTAAGTAAGTATAGAGAGAGAAAGTATATTGGAGAGTGTTCAGCGTTTTCAGCGTGGTTACAAATGGGGAAATGGGGTGCTATTTATAGTAGCAATAAATGCCAGACAGGGACACGTGTCAAGCGTCTATTGGCCGAGAGGTCATCTCAACTGGTTGGCGCTGGCAACCGCATGTGGCCGCATTTAATGTGGCTGTTGGATGGGACGTTGTACAGGGTACGGTGATCTGTACGCATGTGGAGCGGATATTGTGTCGGAAGAGGCTCCCTCGGCAGTAGATGACTAGCCGAGGGCTCTGAGTACCGGGAACCCCCTTAGTGCCGAGGGCTCCCACTGCCGAGGGCTACTGATTTTCGCCGTTTTTCCCAGTAACTTTGTTTTCCTGTCTTGGCCCTCTTGTGAGAGTTAGAGCCTTCAGCCAGGGGGCCGAAGGCACCCCTGGTGCGCATTTGTGGGCTGCTTGGTACTCTGGACGTTGTGATTTGGGCATGTTGTGCTCTCTAGGCCTGTTGGGCCTTTATTGGAGTAGTAGGAGTCTGTGGGTCGGGGTCCCCGGGCCATATACTCCATCATGTATGTTTCATATCCTATTTCCAAATTCACTCAAAAGATAAGGCTATAGAGAATGTAAATTCTCTTATGCAATTTGTCTCGTTGAGTAAATAAAATTCAAGAACAAGATAAGTCAATGTTTGTTCACTGACAACACCTCTCGATGATATTCCTCTCAGTCTAAAATTGAAATTTCTATCGTTGAGTAATTAAAATTTATGAACATAGTAACCATAAAATCCCTTGACGGATCACACAATAACATGTACTTTGCGGATGAGTATGGAAGATGTTGAAACCCCACACCGAAAAATGGTGAAGCAATAAAGTGATATTTAATATGTAGGTCACTCCTCCTATGAGGTTGAACTTTTAGGATGTAACTTCATATCTTAACATGGTATAAGAGTTGAATCGATCAATAACCATGGTGTGGGGCCCTATGAAAAAATGAAGATCATTATAAAGAATGACAATGACGAACCAATTGAAAAAACGAATGACGGCACGATCCAAACAAGGTATCTAGTCGTGAAAAGGGGTGTTGAAGTCCTACACTGAAAAACTGTGAAGTAATGAAGTGTTATATTAATATCGGGTTACTCCTCCTAGCAAGTTGATTTTTTAGGATGAAATCTCATATCTTAACAGAAGGAGGAAAAAAATGGCGCACCTGGTCAGGTAAATGACAATAAAACTAACTGGTTACGAATCATCACCCGCGTAGCTATAAACGGAACTCGAGAGTCTAGACACAAATTCTTTTTAGGATGCAATAGCTTGAATTTTTAAATCGCTAAGACGATCATCTTCTGTGCTTTGGCTCATCTCTAATCTATTTTTTTTTGGAAAACTCTAATTAATATGTACTCCCTCCGTCTTGTTAGAAGGTTCTCACTTTCCTTTTTTGGATGTCCCATATAAAGGTTCCCATTTCCATTTTAGGAAACAATTAACAATATTAAGTGACAAATTAATCATTAAATATTAAAAATAATACATTTATAACATCATAGTTATCAATACTAACTACATTATAATATATACCCATTAAAATTATTTCTCAAAATATACTCGAAGTACTTTATTTAATTATTATCTAAATAATTGTGTCGTTTTGCTCTGGGAACCTTCCAATGGGACAGAGGTAGTAGTATGTTGTTATTCACCTTCAAGTTCTCTTCTTTCAAACAGAGAACATGTGTTTAAGACTTGATCAAGTCTAATGTTCAAAACTAACATTTAATACTCTTTAGTGCTAATTATTAAAAAGTCATACTTACGTTTGGAGATAAAATTTCTAATTTACACAATTACATCTGAGGATGAACTTAAAGTGTTATTCACGTACATGAAGATCATTGAGAATCCAAAGGCTTGTCAACATGGTGAGGATGAAATTTCTAACTATGGTGATCATTGAGGATGAAACCATAAGAGGTTAGTCAACATGGTGAGGATGAAATTTCTAATTTTACCTTTTTTGTTTGTCTCATTAAGTTTATCATATACCATAGTTAGTTATATTTGTATGATTAAACTTCATTTTTACTTTACTCACACATTATCAATTGAATAACAACCATACAATATTATTTTTCTCATAAATCACACCACACCCTCTTGTCCCAATCTTAGTGGGACGGAGATAATACATAGCATATTCATGTAATGCAAAGATAGCAAATATGTTTCGTTTGCGTCCAATAAATATTTTTCTTTAATACTCCGTATATTATATGTCCTTTTATGTAATTCTATATTTTTCAATCACCCTTTAGCTCCTTCTGCCAAATAGATAGGCATGCTCACACTATTTCTATTCACTTCTCAATCCCCATTTTCAAGTCTGAGACAGACCCTTCGTATAATGTTCCCTTCTCTGTTTTTTTGATAGCATTATGAAAGAATGTTGTATTTCTGTCACCTTCATTCAGAGATTGTTTCTACTTTAAAAAGGTTTTTTTAAAGTGATTTTGGATCAAGTCCTGAATAATAATAGTCGGTAGTGTTTGAGAAAAAAATGTTTCTGAAAAAGTAAAAGTTGATTGTGTTTGATAAAATAAGTATTTTTTGTGTAATAAAAAAAGGCTTAAAGCACCTCTCCACCTGCTTTCAAATTTTAGTTTTTAAGTGCTTAATCAAGGCAAAAGCTGAAAAACATTTTTTTCTGTACACACTCCCTTAAATAAAATAACACAAAACTTTAGTCTAAAAAACACCCTAAAAGAATTTATAGGGAAATTTCCTAAAATGAGGAGTAAATACAATTTGAAATTCCAAAATAGGACTGTTATGTTTTTCTCCCCGAAACGGGAGTAAGATGACAATGCCTAATGTCATCTTTTACTCCTGAATAGTTGCAATACAATGTTTTTTCAATCATTACGGTATTTTCATTCACAATAACGACTCATATTTCGGAAGGAGAAATACAGTAATCACATTTTGGATTCTCAAAATTGTTTACTTATATTTAGGGGCAATTTACCAAGAATTTAATATCACTAAACCAGCGCTAATTCTTTACCCATTAACCAGGTAATCGACAAGATTACAGGAATAGTTCGATTTACCACAGAGAGAGTTGCCGGCTAAAACCGGGAGGCCGCACCTGCATATTTTTTGCATCACCAAGATAAGAACTAGGAGACCCGTTTTAAAATCCAAACCCGTATAACTATCCACGACAAAGAACCTGTAAACGCGTTCCAAAATTTCTACCCGATTTGAATCAAGTCAAATCTGGAACTGGTTCAAATCGAGAGAGAAATCACATTTCTTCGTCGCCGGAGAAAATGGGGGATTTCAATCTCGCGCTGTTGATTGTGGCCATAGTGGTGTGCGTTATCGTCTTCCTCATCAACATATACCTCCTCATCAACTACCAGCACCCAGATGATGTTAACCAGGCCTACTTTCCCAAGTTCGTCGTTGTTTTCGGCCTCTCCGTCGCCGCCATCTCCATTCTCATGCTGCCCGCAGATGTGGCTAATCGTCAAGCGTGCCGCCACGCAATTTATAACGGCGCCTGCAACCTGACGCTTCCGATGAAGGACCTCTGGCTTGTCATCTACATTGTCGATGCTTTGCTGGTCTTCTTCGTTATTCCATTCGCCATGTTCTACTATGAAGGCGACCAGGATAAGTCCGTAATTGACATTCTGTGATAATCACTTGGCTGAGAGATTGTCTATAATTGATCTTAATGCGGAGTAGTATTTGCTCTCTTTTTATTCATTTACAGGAGTCTTGGCAAGAGAATTAAGAGCGCTTTATGTTGGGTAGTAGCAACAGCAGTTGTTTGTACTCTAGTTCTTGGGATTTTATATGGTTAGTGTTCTGACTTTCTATTTATATTGCTTATATATTTTGTCTAGGCTTTTAGCTATTACGGAGTATATAGGATGCTAGGACAATTTGGACTTGGTTTTGGATAAAGAGGCTACATAAGATTATCTTTTAGGCGTATTGCTCATATTTGGTCTTTGAAGATAAACGATCAGTAGATGTGGAGTATAACTGGACTACACCATTTAACAAATCAAATGATCTCACCCTTTTTCCAAATTGTGAGTAGCTTGCAAACTTGTAAACCGGAGTCTGTTCTTCCCCTCTTTCCTTAATATGTGTAGTAAAAGTACCAGTAGTTTGTTAATTGTTGTAAATGGATTGCTCTTGACTCAACAACCAAGTGTTCTACCTTAACTGTTTTGTTTTAGGGCTTGCTGGAAAGGTAGACTTCACTGTAAGACACCTTTCTTCTGGTACTACTGCCTTTCCAAACACATTTACATTTTCTGGTGGTCAGCCATGTATTGGAAGTGCACGACAGGTTTGTCAACAGATTGTAATTTCAATATTTCATGATCACCTGTTTAGTAAATGCAATCATAAAGCAGAACTTAGTAGGTTTTTGCTTATTTCACTACTCCCAGTTCTTACATGCTTTAACTTATAGTGTTCTGCATATTCCGCAAGTGCTTCATCCGAAAAGACTTGGACGATGCGCACTACATTTCCCGAATATGTTGTTGCTTTGGCTACAATTGTTGGATCAGTGCTTTTCATGGTATGTACATCTTTTTTATCGTAGTTAGGAATAGGAAATTATCATTGTTAATAATGGATTGACGTAATTTTATATCTACTAATACAATTCTATCTTAGAAGTTAGCAAGATACAAAGCCTCTTTATTATCCTCAAATGGAATACATGGGTGGAACTGAATATTTGAAATACATGGTATCATATATAACAGTGTTTTATCAACTTCATAAGCTGGAGTCATTTTCTTACGGAAACTTTTAGTGCTGCTTACTTCCATTTGAATATTTGATCATGGCCGTCAGATTGAAATTCCAGTCAATAGTCATCCAAGATCTAATGGCCCATAGTAAAAGTCCTAACAGTGTCCTGTCAGGTAGTTTGACCTGATCATTTCTGTGGGTGTGAAGTGACTATTACTTTCATCTTGCAGAGTCGCTAGTTTGAGTAGTTTCATACTTTCGTCTCTCTGTAATGGTTTAATGGAAGTGTCTTTATTGCTTCATTACCCCCTAGTTCCCTACTTAACACACACATGCACTTATGTTTATATAAGGCTGTACCCAGTGCCAAAGCTCCCAGCCTCTCTAGGCCATCTTTTACTTTCTTTTTTTCATGGATTGGAGATGAGTCCTAGATCTCAAGGACGCAAGGGGAATCTCCTACTTATATTCACGGTTTTACGTTGGTGTTTGTATTGTTGTATATATTAATATTAATTCTGTCTCCAGATTTTTGGCGGTGTTGGCATTGCTTGCCTTCCACTGGGGCTTATATTTTCATTCATTAGGCGTCCAAAGGCAGTTATCACTAGGTCACAGTATATCAAGGTACATTTACCTTTAAAAAATATCATCAGAATCTTAATAACTTCCATGTGCAACTCATGCAGCTTATTTCTTTTTCAATATTATAAAGGAAGCAACTGAATTAGCCAAAAAGGCTGGAGAGTTGAAGAAAGCAGCCCTTGAACTGCATCAAGAGGAAAAGAATGGGAAAAAAGGAAGGAAATGGCGCAAAAATGTGAAGTCAGTTGAGAAGGCATGTATTTTTTCTTAGAGTGGGGGGGAAATTTTCTGTTTCTTGGATAATAATTATGAATCAATCAAAGGTGTTTATGAGTTTGGTCTGTGTGTGTATTAAGCGTTTTCTTCTGAAGCCACATAATCTAACCTCTTGGGAACAAGAATCAGTTGTGCCGATTCCTGGAATCAAATAAAGTTTATTGTTTTACTTTGCAGGAGCTACTTTCTCTGGAAGGGGATATGAAGTCCCTAGAAGAGATGTATCCTCAAGGCGAAAAGGTAAATGCCTGAAGCATATTAGCTTTGCGCAGTGTTGTTGTGTTTTTTAAGTTTACTATATTGTTCTATCTTTTCCTTTAGAAAGAAAAGTTTTTATACAAATGAGGAAAGCCTAATATCATATCCTTGATTTCTCAGGCAGAGGCAGCTTGGGCTTTGACTGTTATCGGATATTTGGCCAACCTTGTTCTGGGCGTTTTAGGGTATTTGGTGCTTTTCTTATCTTCACACACAACCTTCCCTGATGCCTATGCTGGATTTACATTATGTGTATTTATGGAGGTGGTTTACTTTTGTTCTTTAAATGATTTGGCAATTCAAATTGCTATTTGACCATTTAGAGGTAGGTTTTATAGAATTGCATCTATTTCAATGCACATGCCTTGGTTTGTTCGCATCATCTTAGGTATGTAGCTGTTAATTTGGGGGCCTTGGAATTTGAATTTTTCATGCAGGGTAGGCATTATTTGTTCTTTAGTCTGAGATTGACAGGAAACTTGTCGCTTAGGCGGGAGTGGGGTAGCTCATGATGTGGCCAGACTGCCAGAATAAATGTGACTTAGGCGAGAGTGGATTCACAGCAGCACAATCTTGCACTTGGGGGTTGCTTGATTCAAAATAACAATAATTTTAATTTGTATAAATATAATGTAACATGTACCGTAAAACAAATACTAAGTATTAAGTAAATAAGGATTATATTCTTATAAATATAATACGAAGTATGTGTTTATGTATGCCTAACACTATTATATCTTCGGGATATCTTCAGTATTATGGATGAAAAGTAAAGAAGGATTTATGTGTATATGATAGAATGATGATACCTTATTTTGATTTCGTAGTTACCTTACCAAGCAATGGAATGGGAATCACTTCTCCATTCCCACCCCTAATAGTCTAATACCCCTCTAACTAAGCACTCCCTAGGATGAACTTTAGAATTGGTTGTACTGAAGGATTTCGTATGTATAATATAGTTGAGCTTCCTTAATCTTTAATAAAGCATTGTGTGTAACTGAGTATGCTTTATATGCTTTCATGATTCGATTTATGTTAGCCGACCCCAAAATCTATTGGGAATAAGGCTTGGATGTTGTTGTTGTACTCCCCACTCAAGGAAAAAAGCAATTCCACACATCTTCATAGATTTTTTGGGGTTTCTGCACAGCACTCGAGTTGGAATTCATAGCTGTAACCATTACACATCAATTTCAGGATAACATTTTGATGCACATCTTGCCTTCAATTTTTGACAGATTGATTGTTTCAGTGGCTTGGGTTGCACACATTGTGATATATTTATTGATTGATCCGCCACTTTCACCATTCCTGAATTGGGTTTTCATCAAGTTAGATGATGTTTGGGGTATAAAATTCTATCTACATATGTATATCTTTTATTGTCTTACTTGTGGGGTAATCTTGAATTCTTCCAACAAATTCTCTATTATTTTCTAGGTCTTCTGGGCACAGCAGCATTTGCATTTTTCTGCTTCTACCTTCTTCTTGCAGTGATGGCTGGGGCAATGATGCTTGGGATGAAATTAGTTTTTATCTCAATTCATCCAATGAAGTAATAAACTTGATATTTTGGATATTTTCTTCTATTTCCTCCTTCCACCCCTTCCCCATTCCATCTTGTTTTCCTGATCAATGAACTGATCCCAAAGCTGCCTATAATGGTCTCCCCTTGAACTATACTTTCAGGTGGGGAGCTACATTGATGAACTCTTTTCTTTTTAATGTGGGCCTTATTCTTCTCTGCTCTATTAGGTTGACTATGTTACCCTTCAAAATTATCTTCTTTCTGGACTCTAGAAAATTGGAATTATTCCTTTATCTTGATAATTGTGCTTGCAGTGTCATTCAGTTCTGTGCGACTGCCTTTGCATATTATGCTCAAGCGACTGCAGCTCAAGAAATATTTGGCCACACCTTGCAATCTCTTCGTGGGATTAAATATTTATACAAGTTAGTGTCAATCGATACCATCTCCCTTTATGTAAGTTATAATGGGTTAGAACTGTTTGGTAATAATGAATTCACACTGCTCCATTTGCAGGTATAACGTGTTTCAAATTGGATTTGTTGCTCTTGCTGGACTGACATTTGTGTATTACCTTGGTTTTGTAAGCCCTTACTCCCATCCCCTCCAACTTAATTAGTATTTATTTGTAAACCCTAAGGTCGCATTTGGTGACATTAATTGGTTTATTCTGTTTATCAGCAGAATAAGTAGTCTCTGGACAGCTTATTTGGCTGTGGAGCCAATTTTGCCAACTGCTATTTTCCTTATCGGAAATAGCTCATACCAAACAGGATCTAAGTCTAATCATGTATTGCTACATTTCCAGGGATGGAGACGGAAAAAACCCAGTGGCAGGTTTCAACTCTCCAGTTAAAGATTTGGTTGTCCTAAAGCCAAATGCCTCATCTAACACTTCAGATTTACCTCTATCAGAGTGATATGATTCCCGGCTTTTGTCTAAATTCGTTCTTCCAAGGAGTAATACTGCCTCTGCCACCTTTGCTGTTGCTTCTGACATTATTTTACCTCCTTACGGTGTATATTCTGTTTGCATGTTGTACATTGACTTGAGCATGTAGTATTTATCAGTTGGGAACTGGGGAGGGTCATTTGTCTAGGAGCTGCCTCGTGTGTACCATACATATAGTTTATGGAAAGAGGGAATTCTTCCAGGTTTCTTGATTATTGTATTAAATATGATTTCATTTTGTGTTTCAATATGTTAATTGATTGACCAAAATTATTGAGTTACATTTTTTTACCACTTGTGATTCAATAGTTCATCATTCATCAACATTTCTAGATGATATGCGGCGAAGTGAAATATGGAATACTTATGATCGGTCAAAGTATACAACGGTGGACCATATCAAGGCAGATCGGTTGTTTGCCCATAAACCAAACTGATTTTCATTCAGACCTGGAAATCTGGAATCAGAAACCGGTCCCAAGTCCTAAACCCATAACTAGTTGAAGTTTTGTTTCCAGTATATAGGAGTTAGGACTGGGCAAGTTCTGGTTCTTTATTGAAATCAGAGAAACTCGAAATGACCATAGAATTGTAATCGAAATCCTAACCATGTTTAACTGGTTTTACACTTGATCTGGCAGTTCATAACCTGACCTTAACACTATGTGACCCGCTTTACATGTTCTCAAACGAATCATTTATTTTTGTAATGAGAAATTATGTACTTCATTAGTTCATTGTACAATTGTAACCGTTATGAACAGATGTAGAGCCCGGCCGTCTTTTAGTTTTTACAGGTACAATGGCTCATGGCCAGAAATCTGGAATAGGTAATCACCTAGTCCGAGTCCAGAACACGTAAACAAATAAAAGAGCTGATCCCATCCAAGTGAGCTAAACCCATTTCCAGTTTTGTATTGGACCAGGCCGCAACTAGGAGAGTAAAAGAACTGAAGTGGTGCTGAATTTTTTATTTCAAACTAGAACCAGTCCAAATCAATCTTAGTTTTGTTTTTAACAGAGATGCAAAAAAATCATAATTGATCTACCTAGTTAAGGTTCCTTCCCCCCCTGAACTAGAACTGGCCGGAGTTCAGCCATTCATCCAAAAGAGTAACCATTGATGAAGCAATGACATCACAATTTAATAGTGAAAAGCACTGAAAACAATTCTAAATCAATCTTTAGTTTTTAGGATATACAGTAATTGGCAATTCTGTTTTTATTGTATTAAATGCAGAAAGCATAACTAGAAGAAATGCTGCTGCTCCAGTGGCAAAAGATGTGAAAGAGACATCTCATCTAATCCCACTTCGTTTGCCAATGAAGAACCACATCAGCGGCGTTTAAAGGTGTCCGGTTCGAACCCATAAAGAGGGTTGGAGAGAGTTCATAAAACTCAGTGGGTAATGACTCCCAGTGCAGACTCGGTTCCCAATCAGCCTCCTTCAGCACCTTCATTATTTCTTTCACCACAATCTTGCTTCCCTCCGGCGTTAAATGGATTCCATCCCTGACCCCCAAAGCCAGAAAAAACCCCGTTACTGAACAACAAACTTCTTAGTTTTTTTTTTTAAGATGAAATCTTTAGGATTTATGCTTGATTACAGTTCAGGTGATAAATATCCCAAATATGACATATCATCAAATTAAATATAAAAAACAGCGAAATATCACACGGTTTTAATGAACCACAAATATATTAAGAGAAAGACTTATGGTGATGTCTCCCTAATAAACTAGAGTCCGCCAAATATGGAAAATTGGGGTAACAACATTTAAGCTTTCTTGGCTATCAGATTCTCAATCAAATCTGCAGCATCTTGAACGGTAGCAATACTCTGAGCACTTTCTTCTTCCACTGTGATTCCAAACTCCTCCTCAAGCCCCATCACAATCTCCACAGTGTCAAGAAATCAGCACCAAGACTTGCAAACTTTGGCTCTCCAGTGACTTCAGTTTCAGGGGCAAGAGCCAATTGCTTCTTCACGATTTTACACACTTTGTCAACAGTGTCAGGTTTGGCCGCAGAAGTCACAACAAGTCTTCGAGAACTTGGCTGCACTCGGAGAGATGGGAAGTTGTTCCCGTTGAAGGAATAAGAAAGGGCCTTCACATTTGATGCCCTGCTAATCCACGGGATTTGCTTGAAGGAGGCGGTGAGGGAAACCGATGATCCAGTAACTTCTTAGTCTATTAGTACTACTATTACTGTACACCCTTCCATCCTAGGTCCTTAAAGCTATTCCCAGAAACTCCAACATTTTTCGTTTTCGGCGTAAAATCATTACTCAAAAAAATAAGGAGAAAAACATTAAGTAGACTAGTACACTCTTTATGGTCTTATTGTGCAAAAACAAAGGTAGAGTTGCAGTTAATCAGTTGTGTCATTATTCATATCCCGAATGCTCAAAGACCCCAAACTCGAACTCAAGCAACATAATACAAACTTCGTATTTACTTAGCTTAAAACAAAGAAGTACTCACGTAAAACAAGCTTTCAGCCAATCATCCCGTTGCTGAAGTGCTGTCCATAAATCTATCACCTTTACATCCAACTGTTTGCACAACTCAACACATGCATCTGAATACTTTTGGCACAATTTGTTTGATCGGCTTGAGGAACTGGCTCCGCAAGAAGAAATAAGGAAGCAAATAATATTTGGAAAAAGTACTTCAAGAGTTTCATAACAAATGTTCATGAAACTGAATGTGATTTTAAATCCAAATAAAATTACCCAAATACTTCAAGAATTTGTGCCTCATTGATGGGGGGACAGGTGAGAAAGATTATCCGCGTTGTCTCTGACAGGCTCTGACAGAATATATAATAATATACAACCAAGAGTTAGGAATTAGGATAAGCCACACACGGTTGGGAGATAAGAGGAGTTAGAAAAGAAACAGTAATTGCAAAAATAACTCAGCTTCCCTGCCCTATGTAAGGAAGTGTTCTTGAGTTCCACCAAGGGGTGTAGTGTGCTTTGACTGAGTGGTACAACAAAAACTGAATAATTTTTACACAAAACTTTTTACACTAATAATTAAAGTATTTTTCAAATTTGGGATGGGCCGGGGCTCAACTGCCCCCTACCTCCGAGCCTCGTTCCACCAAATGCACATGAAGAATTATTAATCACTACGCCAAAAAAATGACGATCCTGGTAATGAATAGATCACCTCTAAATTTATTACACTGCTGCTACTACAAGTAGCAATTGAAATAGAATATCAATACTAATAGGATACTGTTACCACTACTAATAAAGAACTAAAACTCTAGGTTCTTTTCGTGCGGCTCTAGCATGAGACACATCATAATAGACCCTTTTGAAATTATGCTGCTCAATAACTTCATTTTATGATATGCCAATAGATATTGTTCTCAACAAGTAGAAACATGGTCTTAACAACTTTGGAGTCCCGTAAACTTACTTTGAGATGAATAGCAATCTTCCTCATATTTTCAACATATTCAGAAAGAGGAACATGAGCATTGACTCCATATACATCGGGTGACATTGAATCATTGCCACCAAAATAAACTATCACCAGAGAAGGTTGCTCGTCTGCATTCTAAACAGCACTGCCATGTGTAAGAAAGGATTCATTTCCTTCTATTAAATAAATATGCCAAAAAATTAAATTAGCCAGTCACTTGCAGCTTGAAACCTGGCTGAAAATACCTTTGGGAATACTTTGTCCAAAACTTCAAGAGCACATCGTGAGTTCCAACCGCAATATCCACGAAGCACTATGTCTGCCTTTTACATTCAATCAAAAGTGACTTACTAAACAGTGTGAGAGGCCCTAGTTTAAGCAACATAAAATCAGATTAACTGATTAATTCATCTTTATTCTTTACCAAACAGAGACATTAACTTTGGTACACCGGAAGATATAAAGATTTAAGCTTTTATACTACTATATAAAACCTTGCAATGGGAGTGGTGAGGATCATTTTAATATGATTCAAAAATCCCATTGTTCAATCCGTCAATTAATTACACTGATGAGCTAAAGGAGCTCAGGAATACCCGGAAGCCTTTTGTCAAACGGCATAAGAGCTGTCGGTTGATATGTTCAATAACCCCATTGAAGAAGTGAAGAAAAAAACTAAACCCAGGAATTGAACGATCGAAGGTACCTTGCGAGCGTATATATCAGAGAGGATAGCACCCCAACCTTCCTGGCTGTAGCTGAACTGTACTATAGATGATCCGAATAGAACGAACTTCGGGCGGGTCGGTCCAACCATCTCTGCGAAGTTTTCTGCTTTTTGCTTCCCAGTACAATGAAAATGGGTTCACTCAAGTGCAGATTGTTGATCCCAATTCTTTTACGAAGCACTCCGTAGTACTCATTCCTTCCCTTCAAACTTCCCCAACTTTCAATTATTTGTATGTGCACTCCTTAGTAAAGAAAAGGGAAAATAAGCTCTCATCCCGTTACGAAAATAAATATCACCCAATTAGACCCGTAAAGCAGTAAAAAAAAAATCAAAGTGGCATTTTAGTAGGTAACATTCCGGTTCCTGGTAAAACATATGATGTGACATTTAATTTTTGTATTTTTCCTTTTCTTTTTTCTATTTTTTTTTTCCTTTTCTTTCCTTATTTTCTTTCTCTTTTTCTTTCTCCACCCCCTTTCTTCTCCCGCACTTCCCCCTCTTCCTTGTCCTGCGCCTTTCTTTCTTCCTTTCCCTTCTTTACCTTTCTTTCTTTCCTTCTTTATTTTGCAATCACCAGTCGGATCCGAGAGCCAGTCTTCTTCCCCCAACCAACCTCCGGCAAAGCCATAGAAGTTGGGTCGACCGCCGGTCGTCTTCTCCGGCCAATTTCTGGCAAAGAGAGCTCCGGTCATCTTCCATGAACGTTGTCATCCTCTCTTACCAACTTTCAGTCTCATGAAGTGCTGATCTTCTCCATCAATTTATAATTTTATTTATTGTTCTTATTGTTCTTGTTTATCCATGGATTAAATGGTATGTCAAAATTCAAAAATCAAAGAAAAGTGGGAAACAAGGGTATGTTGGGGGTGTGATTAAGCCAAATGGGTGAGATTTAAAAATGAAAGAAAGGAAAATAAGAAACGGGGAGGTAGCAACGTGCTAACCCACAGGGCGAAGAAAGAGTCAACGGAAAAGAGAGAAAGGAGGAAGGAGGAAGGAGAGAAGAAAGAAAAAGAATGAAAAAGGGAAAATGCCACGTGTCGCCACGTGTCAGTGACCGGTTCATTACCTAGTAAAAACGGTTTTGACAATTTTTTAGAAGTTCACATGCTTAATTGGATGATAGTTGAGTTGGTGGACTTAATTGACATTTTCATAATAGTAGAGGGGCCTATTTGACACTTTTCCCTAAAAAAAATTATGTTAATTCTTTTCTTTTCATAAACCTCAACCACACAGTTTACTTTATTAATTCTCGTGTCAATCAAACTTGTCAAAATTTTAAAGGACAAAGAGAGTATATAATTAGAACGGCTCTACTTGGTCTACGCATTTTTGGTCTACACATTTTTTGTGTACACCCCTTTAGTACATTCGTCAAAAAAATTGTCTATAGACTTTTTAATACATATTTTCAGCGGAACTACTAATTTCTTGGGATAACATCGTTTAAAAAGAAACGTACTTCAATTCTTATTCATTTATGGAAATGTTGGCAAACTCAAGTACTCCTATATGATTGTAATGTTGAAAAATTACAGATACACCAGAAAACATCGGTATAGACATCTAAGAGTATTTGATATGGGAAAACTTTTTGTAGGTACCTAGTGAAGTATCTGTCACGTGTACCAAAGTGTCTAAACCTAGTGAAGTTCTCTGTGGATAGACAATTGTTTGTGCGTGAGACAGACGGATGTACGAAAGGTATACATAAAAATGTGTACATTAAGCATTTTTTCTAATTAGAATCCCAAATGATCTTGTTCATCCATAAAGAATCAATAATTTATAATCAACTTTGGTACACGTGACAGATACTTCACTAGGTACCTACAGCAAATTTTCCCATATCAAATACTCTTAGATGTGTGTACCGATGTTCTTGGGTGTATCTGTAATTTTTCAACATTGCAGTCATACAGGAGTACCTGAGTTCGTCAACATTTCCATAAATGAATAAGAATTGAAGATTGTTTTTTCAAACGATATTATCCCAAAAAATTAGTAGCTCCATGGAAATATGTATTAAAACTTTTAGTTTTTCTACTAGAGTATTGTTTTCCATCACCATTATCCAAGAACTTTGAGTACTTGCACTTTCAATTTCACAATTGTGATTGTTTTGATTCATTTCTCATTTTAAATAAATCAATGACTTATTGACTATATTTATTTTCAAGATGCACTAGTGTATATGAGATCTTTTATTGGAAGAAGTATGCTTAAATTGATATCACAACACTCAGATATAAGGTAAATTGACAAAAGACGCAATTAAGCCAAAGACGGTTAAAGCATGCCTCTCATCACCCAAATCTAGACTCAAAGTCTTACAGCAATAAACATACCAAAAGGGAAAGCAACCAATATGATCAAAGAAATTAAAAAGCAAAAAGACAATAAAATAAAACTCTTGTTCCTTCTTCCAGAGCACCACTGCCATCACGTTCCTGAACCTTCTATCTGTTTCTAATACTCCAGTGGGCCTAAAGATCTGAACCCGCCACCTTCCCATTTTTGGCTTGTCCAGAGTCATATTATAACCAAATGGGTCCTCATGTTCCTGACTCTCCCAAATCCTCCTGCGCTTTTGATCCCCTGGCATTTTCTTTGTGCTCCCTTCTTTAGTCGTGTTATTCCATGTGCCCATCGTGGTCTCTCTTCAACCCTGTCCACTTGCTTCCACTCTGCCTTGAATGTCATCGATTTGTTGTATCCACATACCTGAATTAGAGGGACCTTCTATCAAACACTTGTTTCCCCATGTAGGACTAGTCCCCCCTCCACCATAGGATTTTTCCAGTATCAAGTTATCCTCATATGTCAATGGACAAAACTTATGAGAGTGTCCAATGACTTTACAAAAGAAGCAAAAATTAGGTAGGTTTTCATATTTAAAATCTAGCGAGTGGCCAATCCCTCCTTTCTTAAGGGTAGTTCCTATTTTCAATGGTTTTCCAACATCCATACAGACCCTGAAACGCATATAAGCCTCCCACTTTTTGTCAATTTGGTTCTCATCATAGCTAATAAATTTACCAATAAAATTCACAATTGTGGATCGTTGCGCTTACCGCTACACTAAAAGCAATCGTTAATAGTGTAGCACGCCCCTCACCCTTTATAGCACAAGCAAAGCGCCACGCGGTTCGATTGCACCGGCAAGCTGGCAGATTGGTGGCACCGCATACCCGCAGCCCAACAATCTCCCCCCAGCACCTGCCAGCGGCTGATAGTAGCAACATTCAAGTTCTACCTGAAACTGTGAGGTGGCCTCCCCCGTGAAGGGGAGGTCAGTACTTGGAAGCATTTGACAAGTACAATGACAACTATACTAAGTATAATCGAAGTTTAAATCTCTGAGGCCCTCAATCTAGAGAATTATTACATTATAGTTAATCCGTTCATTTAGTATCAATTCATCATTATTTACTACGATCTAGAGCCCAGCTCATAATCACCGTTATCTACTACGGTCTAGAGCCCCGCTCATAATCACCGTCATCTACCACGGTCTAGAGCCCAGCTCATAATCACCGTCATCTACTACGGTCTAGAGCCCAGCTCATAATCACCGTCATCTACTACGGTCTAGAGCCCAGCTCATAATCACCGTCATCTACTACGGTCTAGAGCCCAGCTCATAATCACCGTTATCTACATCGGTCTCGAGCCCGGCTCATAATCACCGATTCTTTATAATTCACATTTTTAGGATCTAATTCATCCATTTCTCAACTAACATTTCCAACTAATATTTCAATGCTAGTTATTCATTTATTTCAATATAATTCTTCCTTCATGCATGATTGGCCTTAATATCAAGTATCACTTTCATACCTTCATGGCTTCTCCTCGTGGTATCAAAGTATACTATCTCAAATGAAATTCATGGTTGGTACAACCATCATACACACATATTCATAACATCTAAACATACACAATTTATTCATAAATTTGTGTATCATGCATACTATACTTTTAATCAATAGTAATTTTATTTAGGCATTATTAACCATTAACAACCCATGCACATCACATTTGTATTCACTTAGGAAATCCCATGAAATTAACCCAAAGATTATAAGCAACATAGTCGGTCATCCTCACCTTAATTAAGTTTAAGCGCGTTCTACGCTTCTCGATTGAACTTTGACTAGTTTCGGCGAACTTTGACCAACTCCGGTGAACTTTGACCAACTCCGGAGAGCTTTGACCAACTCCGACGAAACTCCGGCGAAGCTCAAAAATACTTTAAATCAAGTTCCTAACAAGGTTTTATCATCACAAAACCCATATCAACACAAATAACCTATAAGAGGTTATTTTCCGGCAAACCGGTCGATTTGGCTTCTAAGTCCGTTTTTGGACTTAGAATAACCTTCCAACCCCTCGTTCTACACTTCCAAACATGTAGAACAAATCTAGGGGTCCTCCATATCCTATATCAGTCATATGGTAGTTAGGAAAATAAATAAAAGGTTGTTATAAGGTCATTACCTTAATCACCACCCTCCTTCCTTCCCTTTCTCTTCCTTAAACTTTCTTCTTGGACTCCCTTGAGCTTGAGTTCGGATTTGGAGCTATGGAGATGAAATTTGCAGAGCTCCTATCTCCTTCTTTGTGTATTTGGTCGAAATAATGAGTGTAAGGAGGTAGGGGTGGTTCCTTCTTGTCTTACTTGACAATAATGAGAGGAAAGGAGGTCCACTCCTCATTTGAGGCCAATCTCCTCCACATCCCCCATCCTCCTTCATGTGGTGCAGACAGTTCATGTCCTTTTTTATACTCAAAAACGTGGGTTGGACCCCACTTATGTTGGAGGTCAACCCTTTGTGTCCCGGAGTGTACAATCGGTCCCGAAAGTTGTATTTTCCGGACTGTTTTAATTATGTTTTATTTTTATCGGGTCAAATAAATTACAACACTTGTTCCCAATCCTTATTGGACCTTAGAATCAATATGATTCCCCAACTTTAATTTAGAAATCTCCGGAATCTCCTTTTGGGCCGTTATCCGATAAATTGCCGATACCGATAATTTGGCCCTGTTTGACCAACCGGTCAACCCTGTGCCATTGCTATGGACCAATTTGGATATCCACCACCATATACATATTTTCTAGGCCCAGATGAATCTAATATGTGGTCCCGATAATATCGGGCGGTCCCCACTCCCGATGCGGGCCCCACGTGCATTTTACTATTCACGCGAAAAAATTAATACGAATTCACAACCTCGTAAATTCACTAAAAATTTCATAGGGTCTAATAAATTATTCGCTTAATTATAAATACATTTGGGGACGGTGTTACATACAGTATGGAGTATATCTGAGAAATACAACAAGAAAGTTAAATGATGAATACACAAACGCATTTCATTAACTTGTAATGGGCAAAAGCATGAAGTTTACATTGCATTGTACATTTAATTGAAATGGGCAAAACACAAAACTTTGTAGTTCATTCACTACATCAGTTAACTGACCTTGCAATTGCATATCATGGAGTACAATAATTTACATACCTAGGGTGGGGATTAGATCTATTCAACATGTGGGGGGTCATTGTGTCATTGTCCCTCAATGCAGCATTTAGATGATCAACTGTTTCCAAATTACTTGGCAGCATCCCCTGTTTTTCCAATCTTTGTTTTCCCATGTGAGAGCTTTTGTAGTTGTTGCCTCCCTTGCATTTCAAAATCTCAACCTTGACACATTGTAGTTGAAGCCAATTGTGATTTATCTTGTGTGCTCCAAATTCTGCATATGCTTCTTGTACTGTTGTAACCAATTGGTGGATTGTCTGTGGACTTTTCTGGTACTGAAGTGTTTGTATTGCCCTAAAAAACCCAGTTCTAAGATATTTAGATCAGGGGAATTAGGTGGCTGACATACCAATTGCATATCCCACCCATCCATTCTAGCAACAACCTTAAAAGCTTCATCATTCATATCAATGTGAGGCTTTGCATTGTCTTGTTGTATCCATACAGTTTTACATGCATTAGGGGGGCATTTTTCTTTGATAGCTGGAATCAAAACTGTAAGAAATGCATTTCTGATGACTTCCTTTATGATGGATGTGGTTGCCTTAATTTCTAGTGTGCCTGCAACTCTGTTTTTGCTCTTTCTCTTTGCTGCCACTGATTCTGTGAAAAGGAATATTCCAATTTTCCATCCCATATAATTGATCCATCATCATGGATCCATGGTCAAGCAATGGCTGCCAGAAACATGACCTTGTTGATAAATCTTTTACTTTAACAACTTCTATGAGGATACTCCTCTGAGGGTAAAAGATAATATCGTTGAGTAACTTGGCTCATAAAGAACCACTTCTCATCCACATGTATGACATTGAACATTTTTGTAAACTGTGGAGGTTGAGTGATGTTTCTTGGAATAATGTGACACATTGACCACTTTAATCTCTCCAGTTTGTTCTTGTCGTTCAAAGCAGGCTTTATTGCATTTGTGTGTGATCTTATTATACCACTACTTAGTAACTTATGGACTTTGGAAATACTGACCCCTAGAGAAGCTGTCAAGCTTCTTAGGGTGGTCCTGTTGCTTTTTGGAATGGCACGTATGTGTTCAATGTCAATAGGTATCATTTTCCTGCCACAGTTCCCTTTCCTTTTACCATATGTGTTTATCTCCAAACCTTCTTCTACTTGTTTTTTTGTTGTTGCCCAGATTCTACCAACTGTCTTGGTGCAAACATTGTAGGTACTAACAATTTCTTTAATTATTCCTCTCTTGCAAATCAACATTTTTGTGTCACAACACTGATTTGACTTTGATAACAAATCTTCTGTTATTATCCTTCTTTTTGTCTTTGTGATTGATATACATGGTTTTGCAGGTACATTACCTTCTGTGTTTGGTTCTGTGTTCTCATCAAATGGGGTGTCATCTTCAGAATTTGCAGCACCTTCATATGCTTCAGCTCGAATCCCTATCTCAATAAGCAGCATCTCTTCTGGAGGAATACAATCATAACCTGCTCCACTCATCTCAAGAAGAGATCTGCTAGAAAAAAGGTGCGGACAAGGCTGCAGTGTCTTTGTTCTTTTGCTAGGGAAGATGTGCAGAAAAGTTATTTGTATTGTTGTTTTGCTATTTTTGGATACAAGAGTAAAAAAAGATAGCCTTTTGTATTTATAGTGTGTTGAAACACTCTCTTTCCCTTGCTTTTTAATCTTTTTCTCTTTCCTTTCCTCCTCCACACATTTAACTACATCTATTAATCTGTTCTCTTTCCTACTTTTCCATTTAATCACATCCCACTACACTTTTTACTTTACCCCTACTATTTTTCTATTAAAACCCGTGTCAAAGGCTAGCGGGACAGATATTGAATAACTGAGGGAGTAATTTACTTCGTGTAAAGTAATTCCTAATATATGATTATAATCATGATGGACAAAAAATGACTTAATAACTATTAGTGACTACTAATATGTTCAATTTATTTATCGTAATGACCATGAAAACATATTTATAGTAACTTTAGTCACATTTTTATCCATAAAGTTTATTTCATAACATTTTTAGAACACCTATATTATTTATTTTTATGCATCTTAAACAAAATATTATGATAATTGTCTTCTTTGGATTTGAATTCTTGGTGATTTTGGAGACTAATATTTGTGCTTTTTATTAATTTTATTTGCGGTTTGTACTTTTTATTATTTTATTTGAAAATAGATTTTAAAATATAAAAGAAATATGAGTGATTTCACATTCGGGCTTTAACCGGCCCAACCCGAACCCGGACCGAACCCGGACTACAAAAACCCGACTCAGACCGAATATAGTGGGCTTTGTTTCGGTCCCTAATTTTCATAACCCGATACCTTACGGGTAATTTCCGGGTTTAGCAAACACCCGACCCGGACCGGACCGGACCGATACCACCCGTACTGATTTGATCATTTTCAAGAGGATATAGATTTATGTGATGTTTTTTAGTGCATGGATTTGGATGACTGATTCACTTTTGTAGAAGGGTGTCTATTTGACCTTTTTTTTAGTTTTATTACCAAAATGTCATTGTGCATTTGTAGCTTTTAAATAAACTCATTGAATGATCAAGATAAGTTTGTAGTTCGTAAATTACGAGGTGTTTGTATTTGATCGTTATATATAGAACCACTCCATGCATGCTTTGATATGGTTTCATATATAACGCTTATCTAGATGAAACAAATATTACTGACTCCCAAACACGAAATGTCCTAACATGTATTGCAACATAATTTTTTGATGTTTTCTTATAACACTTTTTAGTTTTTATATTGTGAAACAGATTTATAAAACTTATGAAATGCTACAGATATAAAAAAATGAAATGCTTGTTAGTATGGGTTTTTAGGTTTTCTTTTTCGATTTCAATGTGATCAGTTCAATTGTGAAAATATGCAAAACTTAAAATAGAAGTGAGTGACTTGCGATGGTTTCAGTTTCACTATTGTTTGATTTAGTTTCGTTTTCTTGCCGTCAATTTTCACAATTTTTTATCGACTTTAGTGAGTCTTTGAATCATAAACTTCAATCTAATTTTGCCTTGGTTTGGTTAATTTGTAAGTTCAAGTTTTGTACAGTTTGGTTTTTGTCGAATCATTTTTAATACATTCCTTCTTGTTGTACAAACTTTGTACATTTATCTGTGTGCACAGACAATTGGGAGACAAATGCTGTCTTTTTGTTAACGAACTGCCTGTATGCACAGACAAAATAGGAGGTGTGTACAAAAGTGTTTACAAATAGATTTTTTGATAATATGTAAGTCTTTTATCGTAGCCTTACATATTAAACAAGCATGAAACTTAAAAACTGAAGTCAAGCCCAACTACAAAGCATAATCAAAGGTGAAAAATGGCATCAACAAATAAACAACAAAAACCTTCCGAAAGATACTTTATTATTTTGGAACCAAACCAAGTCATACATAAACAAGATTAATACTCGAACATATTTGACCATATTAAATCACGGCAGATTAGACTAGACCATAAAATTTTATTTTCGATCAACCAGTCATATAGCTAAGTCATTATGGTAGCTGAAATTTTTATTTATTTATTATCTTTTTAGTGATCAAAACTAGAAGGCTTCCATGACCCAAAGTATGATGAACTGATGATGCTGGGGGAGGAGCAATGCTGCTAGCCTGCTACTTCTTCAATGGCCAAAATGTTAATGAGACATCTAATCTAGTTCCACTGTGTTTGTCAGGGGAAAAACAGGTCACTAATGTTTCTAGGAGTCCTATTTGGACCCAAAAAGATTGTTGGAGAAAGTTCATGAAATTCATTGGGTAATGACTTCCAGTATAGACTTGGTTCCCAATCAGCCTCCTTTAGCACCTTCATTATTTCTTTCACCACAATCTTACTTCCTTCTGATGTTAAATGCACTCCATCCCTGATCCCAAAGTCAAACCAAAATGCTCATTACTAAAACAACAAGTATGGTAGATCTCGTTTGGTGACCCTGTGTTTCGGTTTATCATTCAATTTTTCAGTAAACATATACTCCCTCCGGTCCCAAATGAAATTCACACTTTGTCTCTTCACACAAATTAAGAAAATAAATTTGACTTTACTGTAGATACATTGTTGTGATATTGTTTGACATTGTTTGGCACTGTTTGCACTGTTTTGATGTAGATAATTTGCCAAATAAGGAAGGGAGAAGAAGTGTGAAGTTTATTTTGGACCTACCAAAAAAG